ACGTGGAGAAGAAGTGAGGTACTGTATACCTTCAATAGGTTGCCAGTCAGTTGCAGAGCTGACACAGAGAGACACACAGAGCAATTTACAGTGGCCAATGAACCTAACCTGCATGTTTTTAGACTGTGAGAGGAAACAATAACACCTGGAAAAAACCCAAACAGGAACAAGGAGAACATGCAAACTCAAACCCATTAGAGCTAGAGCCCAGTGTTGCTCTCTTCATGGAATGTTGCTTTTTGTGTCTTCTTCTTGAAGAAGAAGAACTTTATTGTATTGTATGATGGACATACAATGAAACTGCACTTGCAATTTCTTTCTTGTGGTACAAAAAAAACTCAATATCATAACATGAATATTTATAAATTGCTAAAAAAATAATGTTAGACAAAATATCAGTATTAATAATAGGTCAAATTAACCAAGCAGGTACAATTAACCAAGCTAATAAGATGAACTAACTTGATAAAATTAGCTAGGCTGTTCATAAAATTGCCAATCTAAATTTAAAACTATGGGTAAATAACCAAGCTGTATATTTAGTCACACTATAAATACAGTTAACCACACTATAATAAATACATTTTAAAAATCCAATATAACCAAAACAAGACATTAATAATACTACTACTACTGCTACTACTACTAATAGTAATAATAATACTTATGATGATAATAACAATAACAATAATAATAATAATAACATTTCTAGTGTACAAGGTTCAGTTGGACAACTACCTTGGGGTAAAAAGTGTTTCTCAGTCTTTTGGTTCTGGTTTGTATTGTCCTATAACGCCTCCCAGAGGGCAGCAATGTGAGCAAATGATAACCTGATATGTTTGATAACCAGAATTTGAGAAAGCAGCTCTTCAGAACTATAAGAATATGTATGTTAACCAAAAAGAAAATGTGTTAAAAAAATTGGTTGGTCAACAAAACCGTCACACAGCTCATTTTGGTGCAACAAATAAAAAATAAAAAAGCAATATACTTTTTAAAAACAATTATTAGCAACACATAACATTAACAGACACAAATATTTACATGTGTAATTAGCACATAAGACTTTTCATGTGATAATAAGATTCACTAGAACAGCACAAAGCTTACATACCCTTTGCTGAAGACGGTTCAGCCTGGTTCTGGGAGCAATGAAGTTCATGGCAAGAAACCCCAGTGACAGCAGCACCAAAGTGACAAAGAACCCAGCAACAAATCCAGCAAAATGGACACCGTGGTTAGGGTAGATCTAAAATGGAAGGGAGGCCCGTTAAATCAGTTTTGATTAATAAGAGAATTAAAACTGTTACGAGATCAAACATGTGACACTTAATGATGCATACAGGAACTGTCTACTACTTACCCTGTCAGTGGAATTCACTCTTAACGTTAAATTAGTTGTCAGTGGACCAAACATACTGACGTCATTCTGCGGAGTAAAGAAAAGTTGTCAATTTGGGAGATTGTTTTTTAAGTTAAAAAGAGCAAATGCTGTATTGCAAACAGACAGTACCTGTGAGGCATTCGAGAAGGTGAGAAAAGCTGGGAGGTCCAGGACTTCACTCTTATGACTCCTTATGTGAGCAGTAAAATTGACAATAACCTGAGATCCAGCTGGAAAGTAAAAACATTACAGCATGTTGAAAAATAAAATAATAACTCAGCAAAAGTTCATGTCAAAGCAGACAAGCTTAAACTTAAAAAAAAAATCCCCAACATACCAGACAGTGAGTCAATGGCAAATGTCTGGTAGCCTCTTTCCACCACCCTGCCATCAGTTTTTCTGAGTACTATTCCAGAAATAGAGTCCCGGATAGCCACCTGAGACAGATTGGTACCACCTGCTGGACCCATGTTGTGAATCAGCAGGA